CTTCATCCCATGGAGAACCCCTGGGGTGTGCACAGACATGGGAGAGGAACCCCAAACCCCAACAGGAGCAGCTCAGCCCCAGTGGGACCCTGTGCTGTGACCTGGGGGATCTTGGGATCCTTCATCCCATGGGGAACCCCTGGGGTGTGCACAGACATGGGAGAGGAACCCCAAACCCCAAAAGAACCAGCTCAGCCCCAGTGGGACCCTGTGCTGTGACCCCTGAGCACAGGGCCCCCCCATAGCCACTGGGGCTCCTTGGCCAGCACCCCTGGGCACTCAGTGGCCCCTGGCTGCTCTCTGCTCTCAGGGTGGGCGTTTTCACAGGGATGCTGCAGCAGAGCTGGAAAACCTGGGGGTTCTTCTTTGTGCAGCCCCATGTAACAAACACCATGGGCATCATGGGCATCAGGGACATCATGGACACCATGGGCATCATGGGCACCATGGGAATCATGGACATCATGGACATCATGGACATCATGGACATCATGGGCACCATGGGCATCATGGGCATCATGGGCATCAGGGACATCAGGGACATCATGGGCATCATGGACATCATGGGCATCATGGGCATCAGGGAGATCAGGGACATCATGGGCACCATGGGCATCATGGGCATCATGGACATCAGGGACATCATGGGCACCATGGGCACCATGGGCATCAGGGACATCAGGGACATCATGGGCACCATGGGCACCATGGGCATCATGGGCATCATGGGCATCAGGGACATCATGGGCATCATGGACATCATGGGCATCATGGGCATCATGGGCATCAGGGACATCATGGGCATCATGGACATCAGGGACATCAGGGACATCAGGGACATCATGGGCATCGTGGACATCATGGACATCATGGGCATCAGGGACATCAGGGACATCATGGGCATCATGGACACCATGGGCATCATGGGCATCATGGGCATCATGGACATCATGGGCATCATGGACATCACAGACATCATGGGCATCATGGACATCAGGGACATCATGGGCATCATGGACATCAGGGACATCATGGACATCATGGGCATCATGGGCACAGTGTCCACCACAGACCTACATGGCACAGCTGGGCACAGCTGGGGACCTTTCTCAGGGACAGCCCAGCCTCCATGACTGGGATCTGCATCCAAAACCCCAGGAGAGAAGGCAAAGGATGATTCCCTTTCCCATGGAGAGGGCTCTGGCTCTCCGTGATCCACCAGGGAGCCCTGAGCTGGCAGAGAGCCACGGGGAGGGGAAAGGAAGGTCAGGATGAGGCTCAGGCTGCCCTGTGTGGGCTGAGGAGCACCAGGAGAACTTTTTGGGCTGTGGCTGCTCAGCCAGGGCCAGGGAAGAGCCCCGTGAGCTGGGGACACCCCCAGAGGGCACCCAGAGCCACGTGTGCCCTGGGGACAGGCAGCAGTGAGCACAGGGGAGTTGGTCCTGTCCCTGTCCCTGA